TCTTTTTCAACATTGCTTCCGAATAAGATTCTAACTTCATCATTTTTACCTCGATAACTCTTAAAAAACTGTCATTTTTATATCCAAAACCAATTGTAATAATACACTTCCTTTATATTATTATCTTAGAATAAACTTTAAAAATACAAATTTGATTAAGCTTCTCAACCTATTGCCAAAATCCTCCCCCAAAAAAGATTAATCTTCAGTTCTTCCCTTCTTTCTGTATTTTTTCCAGTCCTTTTTCTTCGATAATTCTTTCTTCTTCAGCATTGCTCCTCCTCCTGCTTTTATTTTTGAGAATTTTAAAATTTGGATTTGAGGTTGATGTCTCTTTAAAAGTTTTTGTCTTCTTAAAGTTATTTCATTTAATTTGAAACCCCCATAAATCCCTCTCAAGTCCTCCTGATTAAACTCTTCCAGATTCCTTTGCTTTCCCCTCTTGGTCTGGAAAGCATCCTTTTTATCCAAAGTCACATTAAGCTGGATTTCTGGCCCATCTTCTTCCAACAGCTCACTACTGTCTAACAAGCCTTGAAATGATACTATATTCTCCTTTGTCTCCATGTTTTGAGTCAAAACAGTTTCCTCTTCCTGAGACCTTTCATCAAAAAAACCTTTAAGACTTTCCAGTAAAGCAGTGGTTTGTGACTCAAAAATTTCATGTATTATAACTCTTATTGGTGTATTTGCTGATGTATGTAATAATAGTCCTTCAGCACTTTCAAAGGTACCAGCCATTTTCTTTTATTTTTTCCAATTATTCACACAATTTAAAAATGTAAATTAGTTAAAATCAATTCCATAGTCTTTTGCTTTCTGCTTCCACTTTAAATTCACACAATTTAGAAGTATAAAGTAGTTGGAATCAATACCATAGTCTTTTTCATTTCACTAGCACTTTAAATCCTTTTTCTTGCCAGGTAATCCAGTAGCTTTTACAATGTTGCAGCTTTAACGATCACTTTCACTTATAAGTTTCATTTTGCCGCCCTAAAGCGCCATCTTTTTTTCTTTGTTTTAAACGGAGTTAAAGTGTAATACTTGCATTTTCTGTTCTCCTGATTTTGCTCTGCCAGCATCCAGATTCAAATTTTCTCATAATCCTTAAAATTGCACTGCTGATGTGGTTGCGACCCCTTGTTCTGCATAAAGCAGAATCGTCCCAGATCTAGAGCACTGAAGGGCTTTCAGGGAGCTCTCACCCTGTAAGCCCCAAGCTTTAAACAAAAAAAGCCTGGGGGTCTAGGGGAGCTCTACCCAGACCCTTCTGCTCTTCTCTCCCCCTTTTTCCCTGGGGGAAAGTTTCAAGCCACTAGAACAGCTGATTTTCACTGTTCTAGCGGCAAACGGAATCACGGGGCTGGAGTTCCTGAAGGAGCATCCGTTTGGGGAACGCGGAGCCACCGGAAGCCCCCTTGCTAAAAATTTTTGAAGCCATCCCTGGAAAAAATAATCTTAAACTTAAATCTGGTAAAATGGAGAATTACATAGGTAATTCTAATGTCCATAAATTAGAAGGAATATTTATTTTAAATGGCCTTTTTCTCTTTCTGAAAAGATATTTAACATATATAAACCTGGGGATATTCTTGGACATGACATGAATAAATAAATAAGTAGCTGGACACAATCATTTCATTTATCTAACTTCAGCTTGACCATAATTTGTAACCATTCATGGAAAAGGATGACTGAGTGGCCACTTCTCCTAGCATAATTTTGTTCTAGTTTAAAATCTGTCCATAACAGCCAATGGAAGACATAGAAATGAAAGCCCTAAACTCCTTCACAGGAATTCCACCCTCGCATTGGTATAGGTATGTGGACAACACTTGGGTCAAGATCAAAACACAAGAATTGGAAGCCTTCACCAAACATATCAACTCTGTAGACAGATATATCAAATTCACACAAAAAGATGTTAAGGAAGTCTAGCCTTCTTGGGCTATGCAATACACATCAAGGAAGACAGAAGCCTTAACACTGAAGTTTACAGAACACCCCTCCCCCCCAAAATCAATTTACATTTTGATCTCACAACCCATTGGAGCACAAAATGGAAATTATCAGAACCCTACACCACCGAGCTGAAGGCCTGCCTACCAGCAAACATGGGACAGAAAAAAAACTAAAACACATCAAGGAAGCCCTCTAAACGTGAGACTATCCCAAGTGGGTCTTCGTCAAATTCCAAAAAAAGACCCAGCAGGAGCACCTCCATAACAGACGAAGAAGAGAACAATAAACAAAGCAATGTTCTAATTCTATATGTTGCAGGAATATCTGAAACTCTCAGGATGATTTTCAGCCAACACAACATACGTGTACACTTCAAACCCAAGAATACACTAAGGCAGAAGCTTGTCTACCAGACACAAACTGAGAAACGTGGTATATACAGTACAATGCAGTGAACTATATGTAGATATTTACATTGGTGAAACAAAACAACCACTTCATAAATACATGGCACAACATAGGAGAACAAACCCATCAGGACAAGATTCAGTAATCCATCTGTATTTAAAAGATAAAGGCCACTCTTTTGAAGACAGAAAAGTCCACATTTTAGAGAGAGAGGACCGCTGGTTTGAAAGAGGGGTCAAAGGGGCCATCTATGTCAAAATTGAACAACCCTCTTTCAACAGAGGGGGGGCGGATACGACATCATCTATCTCCAGTCTACAACACAGTCCTTTCAGCAGTTCCAAAAAGGTTCCACACGAAAGGTGGTATTCACTTATCTTCACTACCAGTTTGCAAATGTGAGCGTGTGCGCACTCACTATGATCGCATGTGCCTCCTCTACACATGCACAGAGCCTTCTGCGCATGCGCAGAGGGTCAAAAGTGGGATGATGTCTGGGTGGGTGGGCAGAGACTTACGCCGCTGGCACTACCGAATTGCGCGATCTGGATAGAACCAGCTGAATTTCACCACTGCTCCACACCCATTTGCACTACACAGATAAACAGATAAACCTTCACAACTCTTTAAAAGAATGCAAATGACCATCTGCCTGCAAAGAGTATAAATCATTCCATTCTCCACCATCCAGTCAGAGCTGAAGAAGCTTCTTGGATGAGAAGTGAAATGTCTTCAAAGAAAAACAAGAAAGTTCAGTTGCCTTTGGGACAACTATGACCTGGATGACTGAGAATCTTCCTAGACATGTGGCTAGGTAGTTCACAAGAAGCTTTTTCTTTTTTAAAAAATGAATCTCCAAACTACATCTGTTACAGGCCTGGAAGCCATTTTTTGCATTGGGCCTTCAGGCCACATTTACTGCTGTGGGAAACTGGGAGTGGGGATTGTATGGAGCATGGGTGATATATAGACATAAAAACATTCCTTTCTCAGACAGTCAAGGACATCTTGCTCTGCACCTGAAGGGGTGTGACTAGGAGACATCTCCAGCTGGGACGGTGCTTGATTGGATCATGTGATGGACGTGTGCCTACTGGGCAGGGATTTGGATTTTCTTTTGGGTGGGAAAAACCTGGAAGCTTTCAGATTTGGGTTTTCCCAGATGTGCCAATATGACATTTCTAACAAAATGGAATTTTGAGAAACTTCTAGCCTCGAAGTCTTCTTTCATTGGGGCTGTTACTTGGAACCCTGATAATCTGACTACACAGCAGTGCAGACCCGTAAAACAAGTTTCTAACCATTAAAATTGATTGCCCAATAATTTTCAAGTCCAGTTCAAAATGCTGGATGAAAACATTAAATGGAGTGTGATGCACAAAGAAGCATCATTTCCCTTTCCTCCTCACCTATATTTTAAGGACTTCATAACAGCTATTTCTAGTTTTGACCTTCTCTCACTTTAAACAGATCCGGTATAACATTTTGTTTACTTGCCCACTCTATCATTTATTTCAACATAGGTAGTCCTCGACTTACAATAGTTCATTTAGTGACTATTCAAAGTTACAATCGCACTGAAAAAGTTACTTATGACCATTTTTCACAATTACAACCTTTGTAGTATCCCCATGATCATGTGATCAAAATTCAGATGCTGGTAACTGGTTCATATTTATGACGGTTCCTGTGTCCCAAGGTCATGTGATCACCTTTTGCGAATTTCTGACAAGCAAAGTCAATAGGGAAGCCAGACTCACTTAACAACTGTATTGCTAACTTATCAACTGCAGTGATTCACTTAACCACTGTAGCAAGAAAGGTAATAAAATGGGGCAAAACTATTTTAATACAAGAGGTAAAGCAAAAATAAAAAATCCAATTCAATTCAAATTTTTATTGTCAGTACACAACATATGTAAAATGAGATTAGTTGAGGTCCCTCAATGCACTTCCCCCAAGACAATACAACTCAAAATGAAGACAGAAAATCCCTAACCCAATAAATCATATCAACCAAACACCAGTGTGAACATGTTACACATTGCGCTGGCCCTGCAGTCCATCATACTACATAGTTATGATGTTATTTCTCATTCAGGAGTCTTACAGCCCACGGATAAAAACTGTTCTTCAGCCTGTTTGTGCAGCTGGCTATGCTTCTACACTTCTGGCTAATACCCAATGGTAGGAGGGTAAAGAAGTGGTGAGAGTCATCCCTGAAAATTTTCCTCACTCTTCTAAGGCAATGAGCCCTAGCGATCTCATCTAGTGATATCAGGGGACAGCCCATGATGTTTTGTGCTGTACTCACCACCTTCTGTAATGTTTTTCTATCTGTGGCTGTCAGACCAGCATGCCATACCATGATGCAATAAGTGAGGACACTTTCTATTGTGACCAGTAAAAGGAGGTCATCAGTTGTTGTTCCACCCTGTTTTTATGCAAGACCCTAAGGAAATGGAGTCTCTGTTGGGCCTTCCTGGCCATCTGGCTCATGATGCTTTTCCAGGTGAGGTCTTCGCTGAGATAGACTCCCAGGAATTTAAAGGAGGAAACACAGCTGGCCTCAATGTAAAGTGGGGCTGGTTCAGTGGTAGTAAAACCAGCAGGAGGTTCCTCCCACTGACCCCAACATCATCAAAATGTGCTTGCGCAGAAGAGCGTGTGTGTGTGAGAGAGAAGTGAGCGCACAGCCCCGCTGCGAACCAGTAGTAAAGGTAAGTAGAACCACCCCTGGGCAGGTTCCACTCTCTTCCTCCTGAAGTCCAACACCATCTCCTTGGTCTTGCTGATGTTCAGGTGCAGGTAGTTTTTTAAGCACCATGTGGAAAGTTTTTGAACCTCCCCCTTTTCGCTGTTTCGTCTCCACCTGTAATAAGACCCAGTATAGTGGTGTCATCTGCAAATTTAATGATCACAGTAGATGGGTCTGACGGTACACAATCAAGTGTGTTCAGTGAATACAGGTAGGGACTGAGCACACAGCCCTGTGGAGAGCCAGTGCTAAGCTTCAGGGAGGTGGATATGACAGACCCAACACTCACTGTTTGTGGCCGGTCCCTCAGAAAGTCTTTGATCCAGTCGCAGATGGAAGAGGGAAAATCCAAGTCAGTCAGCTTTTTGATAAGGATGCTTGGCAGAATGGTGTTGAAGGCTGAGCTATAGTCTATGAAAAGCATCCTGACATAGTTCCCGGGTTTCTCCAGATGGCTCGCTACAGAATGTAAAGCAGTAGCTATGGCTTTGTCTGTCGACCTATTCCCCCTGCAGGAAAACTGATATTTGTCAAAGTCCGGTGGGAGGCATGTCCTAAGATGTTGGAGAACCAATCGCTTGAAGAATTTCATCACTACAGACGTTAATATGAAATGTCCTTAAATCAGAGCAAACATTGCACAGGTTGAGGAGATGTTCTTTTCTTTACAGAATAATTAATAAACTGCTGGAGTTTTCCTGTAAGGAAATAAAGTTTTTCTTTAAAAAAAACCTCCTTTCACACTATAACAGAAAAAAATCTGGAAATTTGCAGTGAAATTGAGGTAAACAAAGGCTGGTGTTTATAATCATTTCTAGTAGCCCTATTATGGAAGTAGGGCACATAGATGGTAAGGATAAAGCTTCTAGAATGAATTAAATTGGAGTAAATGCATGCATTTGTATGTGCTTCTGTGTGTATACAGGTATATGAGAGAATGAAACAAAATACAGGATTTATAAAGTAGAGAAAATGGAACCCCTTTCTAGCAAGGGGAAACACATGCAAATTAGTTACAGCACATGGTGCATGACTTTTAATTGTTTTATTGATTCAGTGCAGTTTCTTTGAAAGGCATCTTCCATTCCTATTAGATAATGTATTATCAAAATAATGAAATGCAAAAATAACTTTGGAATCATGTGCATTGCTCCTCAGTTAACTGTCCCCTCTTATATCCTGGCTCTGATTTGGATCTTCTCTTCTTTTGCAGCTAATATTTACAAAAGAGAGGAGAGAGCCCAGTACAGATCTCTTTTATCTCATCTAATTAGGAAACTACTTCAGGGAATCACTCCAAAATCATTATTAGACTGTAAGCAAGTGCCAACAAGCACAATTTCATTCTGCATGTCCCTTTATATACAGGCTTCCAACACAGAAGTAGCCCCAGCTGTGGCTGAGCTCTTAGAAGACAGAGTGGATGTTTCTGATTAAAGGTTCTTTTTCTCTGTATGTTTTAATTAAAGATGTACAGTATAAGCTAATAAGTGTGGAGCATATTCTGGGTCCTCCCACCAATAATTATCTCTCACTCAAATATTTTTAATTCCATGTTTTACTTTATGCTGTTCCCAGCATAAACAACATTACAGTTTGTTTAAAAGCAAAATATTCTTTGTTAGTTCTTTCACTCAACCCCAAAACTCTAATTCCCAGAACTACCTGAGAATGAAAGTTAAACTAATATAAACAGTGTAGATATCTGTTCCCAATGTATATCTACCCAGGTGTCAAAAGATTAAGTTATTTATTCTGATACAAACCTTCATGGCATAAAGTTATACAAATATTTAATATAATGACACAGTATTTAAGATGTCAGAATTCCAGGCACATAGTCAGCCCAGCTGAAATGAGAAAACTTCAAACATTTGATGAAAATAATGCAGGAAGGATGTGGCAACACTTGGAGTTAGTAATCATGTTTCATCTTTGAATGATGTGTTGTGAGCTTTTAAAATTTACATTGGAGCAAAATAAACAAGCAAGCAGAACCAATAAAATAAAGTGAATGTAAATTTAAAAGAATTCAAATTCCCCATGTATGTATAATTTCCTCAAATTGCACTAAAAATTACAATTTATTTATTTAAAATCACCCAACATAAAACATAACTCTGGTGTTTCACACAATAATAAAACTGCAAACCAGAAAAGCAAACATTGGATTTTATACCTTTGCTCATTCAACACTACTGTTGCGAGCAGGAAAGCCTTTCTGTGCACAGGTGAACTCACATGAAATTTTACATAAGGTTGAAATTTGCACTATATCAGAGACCATTGTACATAGGCTTGTGAATACTTTTTCCTCATATAGGTATCCTGTTTTAAGCCACATACTGATAAACACACACAAATTCACTGAGAAGATTGTGATAAATAAGTGGCAGGGGTATGTGAGTACAAGACATGTAAACATACGCACACACACACAAAATCAAATCCCCCCCAAATCCAGCAAGCTTGCCTTGAGAGATTTGCAGATCCAAAACAGCAGGCCCATAAGTGGCCAATGAGATCTAGAGGTTCAAAGATTGTAGAAGAGTTGTCAGCCAGAATCAGAATCATGCAGTTTCAAGTTGGGAGTCAAGGGATACTGTTATGTATTGATACTTTTCAGCGGGAGATTCAAACCTGTTTAAGTTTCTGATTGGCTGACAGTCCCTCCAGGATTGTATATAAGGAGGGCTGTAGCCTCTGAGTTTTTGCTGAAGTCTCACTGTATATTAAAGAGCTGTTGTCACTTGCCTGCTTGTGCCTCTCATTATTCCCGAACCACTTCATTGGCGACGAAGGTGGGATTGAGGCCACAAGAGGCGAACCAGTGAGACCACGAGCTTCAGCTAGGCGACGAGGCGAATTACAGGAGGCATACCAAACATGTCTGTCTACGTTCCGCCCAAGCCTTTTGATCCAACCCGCGAAAAATGGGTCTCATACCTAACGAGGTTTGAGTGCTCGCTTGAAGCCAGCGACATGCAGGGACTCTCCGCTAATTGGAAGAGAGCCCTCTTCCTAAGCCACTGCGGACCGGACGTGTTCGAGATGGCAGAGTCACTTTGTGAGCCAACGCCGGTCCAGACCGTCTCCTGGGACACCCTGATGGCACTCTCCGGGCTCACTACGCTCCCGTGCCCTCCAAGTTCGTGCAACGATACCAACTCAGACAGCGCGTACAGCGAGAGGGAGAACCGGTCAGCGCTTACATGGCGAGCCTGCGTAAAGCCGCAACTCATTGCGACTATAGGGACTTGGACGATGCGTTGCTTGAGCAACTAATCTGTGGTGTTCGGGACATTAGGCTACAACGGCGCCTGCTCGCCAAGCCTGACTTAATGCTTGCTGGAGCCCTAGACGAGGCCAGGGCTCATGAAGCTTCCACAAAAGCCGCAGAAACGCTGCAGCGTCCGCTGACCAGCAAAGACAGTCCTAAGTCTGCACCAGTGCACAGGGAAGACGCTGGATCCAGCTCGGAGTCCGAGTCAGATGAGGATGTCTTCCGAACAGAGCACCAGAGAAAAGACACAGGCAGCCCCCGGCGAAACTGCCCCAGTTGTGGCGGGCACCATGATAGAATGTCCTGCAAATACAGAGAGGCTATTTGCAGGCGTTGCGAGAAAAAAGGGCACTTGGCGCGAGTCTGTAGAGCCATTCTGCCCAGAAAACATCAACCACGTGAGCGCCGCAGCCAACCAGAATCAACACAACAGAAGCATCCAATGAGAGAAGGAGGCACGAAGAAACGGCGCGAATTTGAACCGCGAGATGGCCGCAGCATACACATAGACCAGGCCAGCACGGCGATCGAGGACAAAGTCAGCACGGTGGTCGAAATCAACGGCAAGCCATGCTCGATGGAGATCGACACCGGATCAGCTCTCTCCATAATGTCGTGGGCGACCCTGAAGACCATCCTGCCGTCATTCCGAAAGGACCAGCTATCCAAGCAAAGACTGCACATCCTAGACTACCAGGGGAACCGGGTCCCTCTCGAAGGCGTGGGCACGTTCCGAGTCACCTACAGAGACTTCGAAAAAGACCTGCCACTGACCATTGTCACCAAGCAGCTGCCTAGACTTCTGGGCATGGGGTGGTTCCGAGCCCTGGGCATGGGCTTCACCAGCGTCCACCGAATGTCCGAGCCGTCACTGAAGGACAGCCTCCTGAACGAGTTCCAAGTCGTCTTCAGGGACACGTTGGGCAAGTATGTGGGGACCCCTATCTCCCTAAACCTAGACCCCAACGTAGCCCAAATAAGACTTAAAGCCAGACGGGTGCCCTTCGCATTGAAACCAAAGATCGATGCGGAACTGGACAAATTAATTAAACAAGGGATGTTGGTCCCCGTTGACCATGCGAAATGGGAGACCCCCATAGTGACCCCAGTTAAATCTGATGGCTCAATCAGAATTTGCGCCGACTACAAGTGCACGATCAACAAGGCTTTGCAGCCGAGCGCCTATCCGGTGCCGATCGTGCATCATCTACTACACTCCCTGGAGCCCGGAAAATTTTTTGCCAAATTAGATCTAGCTCAAGCCTACCAACAATTACCAGTCAACGACACCACGGCAGAGGCACAGACAATTGTAACTCATAGGGGTGCATTCAAATGCACCAGGCTCCAGTTTGGGGTGAGCATCGCACCCGGCCTATTTCAAAGCACCATGGAGCGCCTCTTGCAAGGGCTCCCAGGGGTGGTGCCCTACTTTGACGACATTTTAATCAGCGCTCAGGATGAACGTCAACTGGGGGACAGAGTGAGAAACGTCCTTTCCAGATTTAGGGAAGCGGGACTTAAATTAAAGAAAAATAAGTGCATGATCGCTGTCCCCTCAGTCGAATTTTTAGGATACAGGGTGGATGGCACAGGCATCCACCCTACCGAAAGCAAAGTGAGAGCTATCAAAAACGCACCAGCCCCCAAGACCAAAGCGGAGCTCCAAGCCTTCCTTGGACTGCTCAATTTCTATTCGATGTTCTTAAAGGACAAGGCTACCGTCACAGATCCCCTACACAAACTATTGGGGAAGAATGTACCATGGGTTTGGGGGAAACCACAAGCAGCCGCTTTTGAAGCGGTAAAGAGACTTCTATCTGAGGACAGTTTCCTAATCCAATACAACTCAGCGCTACCGCTCGTATTGGTTTGTGACGCCTCCCCCGTAGGAGTTGGTGTCGTCCTAGGCCATAGACTGCCAAACGGCTAGAGGCGCCCATTGCGTTTTACTCTCGCACCCTGTCAAGCGCAGAGCGGAACTATAGTCAGTTGGACAGAGAGGCTCTGGCTGCAATTGCGGGGGATAAAAAGTTCCATGAATACTTCTATGGCTGTCAATTCGAACTTGTGACTGACCACCGGCCCCTGCTGGGACTTTTGGCCGGCGACAAACCCACCCCCGCTGCCCTGTCCCCACGGTTGACCACGTGGGCCATTTTCCTATCGGCCTACTCATACCAGCTTGTCCATCGACCCAGACGGACCTTGGGCCACGCGGATGCCCTCAGTCGCTGCCCCCTCCCCAATTTGCTGGTCAACCCCACGCCGGAGACCCCCGTTCTGTTGATCGACGCTATGACTCTGGGACCTATTTCCTCTTGCGAGGTGGCGAAAGCCTCTGCTAGGGACCCTGTAATTCGTACTGTAATGGGTTGGGTCCTTAAAGGGTGGCCGGTCAAGGCGGTCGGTGGGGAGTACCAGGGTTATGTTCACAAACGTAACGAATTGTTTATGCAAGGGGGTTGTTTGTTGTGGGGTGATAGGGTGGTAATACCAACGAGACTGAGAACGAGGGTCTTGGAGTTACTGCACGAGGGGCACCCAGGGATTGTCCGAATGAAAAGTTTAGCCCGCAGTTACGTCTGGTGGCCGAACATGGACCAAGTCATATCCGAGTGGGTGGGGAAGTGCAGACCCTGCCAGGAGTCTCGGCCCGATCCCCCGATAGCGCCCATCCGAGAGTGGGAGAAACCAAAAGGGCCATGGGGGAGGATCCATATTGACTTTGCCGGCCCCTTCCATGGGCAAACATTTTTAATCGTAGTCGATGCCTTTTCAAAATGGCTCGAAATAATACTAATGCCCTCAACCACAGCCGAGGCAGTCATCAAAGTCCTTCGCAAACTATTTGCCACCCATGGCCTACCGGATACTCTGGTATCTGACAACGGCCCGCAATTCACAGCGACTCTGTTTGAGGGCTACCTGGACGGACTGGGCATCCGCCATGCCCTATCGGCCCCGTTCCATCCGGCTTCTAATGGTTTGGCTGAACGTTTCATAAGAACGGCCAAAGAAGCATTGTCCAGACTAGATAACGGGGACTGGCAGGCCAGGATAGATCAATTTCTAGCTGTCCAGCATGCCACACCATGCACGGCCACAGGGAGAAGCCCAGCCAAACTCCTCATGGGCAGGAAGCTTCGGTGCGTGTTAGACAGGCTTCACC